AAAATCAAACTCACTAATTTCACAGTACAGAAAGCAAGGTGCTATCCCCATTTCAAAGACACAGAAAAACACATTGCTAGTCAGGTTAGCTTGTAGGTAACAGAGGTATAAAATGAAACTGAAAGAAGTCCCTTCTACACATTCCACAAGTAGATAAGACTTGTCTAAATCAGATCAAATGCTGAAAACAAGGAATTGTGAAGGTTTCCCAAAGGAGACTCATTTCTCTCAATCCAGAACAGAATGTGCTTACAAAAATAAATTTTCATTTATCTATAAACAACTTTATAATGGCTTCAAAGTATTTATCTACTTTTATAAAAGCATCAAAGAGAAAATCAAGACACAGCAACTGCTGCTCTGACTCTCTAGTATTTAGGATCACCTCCAGCCATGCTTCCTTCTCCTGTTGGATTTCCTTTTAAAACATTAGCAATTACATTCAAAATCTATTAGGTGGTCCAAAAACTCATCATGATGACAATATCAATCCCCAGGAATATTCTTAATCATATCCACTAAAATTAACATTAAAAACACAAGAGCCAGGCATGGTGACTCATGCCTGTAAACCCAGGCAGCTCCAGAGGCTGAGAAGGCAGCAGGATCATGAGTTCAAAGCCAGCCTCAGCAAAAACAAGGTGCTAAGTAACTCTGTGAGACATGACAGGGTCTTGTAAATAAAATGCAAAATAGGACTGTGGCTCAGTGGAAGACCCCTGAGTTCAATCCCTGTCTCTCACCCCTACCCCCACCCCCAACCCCCCCTCCCAAAAAAGAATTAGAGTACCATTTACATGTTGAAACTGTTATTGAAGTAAATATCCTTTTCTGGAAGAACTGACATAAACAAGATAGTTTAGACCTTACTAAATGAATAAATGGGATTAGATTTTCATATCAGAGAATGTATCCCATCCACATAAAATGAATATAAAGTAAAAGTTTTATATTATAATTCCACTGAATCTTTGAATATATATACTTTTGGCTTCAGAATTGATTATTTAAATTTTAATGAGCTAAATGTATTTGAATTTCTTATTTGAAGAATTTATATATTTTCCTTTAAAATTTAAAGCTTTGTGATTTTTTTTTTCATTTCAAATCCATTCCTGAATTTTTATCATCCTAAATATGGCCTCATGATGCCAGTCATTCTAACACATCATATTCTTCTGAATCTGTTGTAATTAACATACTTATTGTCAACTAGAGTATAACAAAATAAAATTATATAAATATTCTTCTTTGTATAATAAAATAAATTATTTCAAAATAGAAATGTTAGCATTATTCACTCTTACCAATGCATTTCAGAAAATTTACTATGTTTACTGGCACTTTCATACAGAGATAAAAATAGTCCTTTCTTAGATATGTTTATGTTTCTGAGTGAGATGGGAAAGTCAACAAAGGTTTAGGATATAGTGTGTTAATTGCTCTTAATATAGGTACCCATAATTATTTATATTAAGTTGTATTCTTTTGCAATATAACTTTTTATGAGAATGAAACATATGGTAACAAGATTCCAAAATTGTACCCACTGATCTTTGTCTCCTGGTGTTCTCACTCCTATGTAGTTTCTTCCAAAACTGAATAGGATTTGCTTGTGTCACCCAAAGGATTTTGCAGAAATGAAATTCTGGGATTTCCAAGTCTAGGTCATAAGAGCTCTGGCTTCTGCTTTGTTCTCTTATATCTCTCACTTTGGGTAAAGCCATCTGCCTTGTGCATGGACACACCAGCATTGATTTAACAACCAAGTAAGATGTCCTGCAAATATTCCACCACTCATGTCAACCTTTCAGTTAACTGCCGCCCCAACTGATAGCTTCACTGCAATCTCAAGACAAAACCTAAGGCAATACCACCCAATGCATTTTCAAATTACTGACCCATAGATACCATATGAAATAATAAATATTTGTTGTTGTTTTAAACCACTTACTTTTTGAAGTAATTTAATATGCATATAAATTGTTCTATAAAATGTGACCAATTAAAATCTCACTTCATAAGCATGTATTTTATTCATTCCAATATCATTATATTTGCTTTGTTAATTTTTAAGGTTGTTCAAAAGCTGCTGAATAAAATAAAATAAAATTATATAAATATGCTTCTTTGTGAAATATAAGAAATTGTTTCAAAATCAAAATGTTAGCATTATTTACTCTTATCAATGAATTTCAGAAAACTTACTATGTTGGCTGGCACTTTCATACAGAGATAAAAACAGTCCTTTCTTAGATAAGTTTATGTTTCTGAGTGAGAAGGGCAAGTCAACAAAGGTTTAGAATACAAGGTGTTAATTGCTCTTAATACAGTTGCCCATAAGGTACAGTGCATTTTCCTTATGAATCTCAGAATGGTTTACAGAAGAAGGATGGTTCTTGAAGTATTAGTAAACATTCTCAGAAGGAATATTGAGGAATGAGTCTCTACTCCTAGTATTATCAATATTCACACTATAACAGTACTTATGATAAATCAGGTTCTATTGTAAGCATTTCAAATATATTCCATCATATAATCCTCTTAACAATCCTACTGCATAAGTACTATTTGAAATCCTACTTTATAGAAGACCAAACTAAGGCAAAGAGAGGATAATGTCCCCAATATCACAGAGCTAGCAAATACTAAAGTATAAATTTATACCAAGGAAATGAAGCATCAGACTTCTAGTCTTAGCTATTAACTATTATTCTTTCTGCTCTACTGGGAGTTGGAGTGGGAGAAATGGTATGAGCAAAGTTAGCAAGGAATGAGAGTTTGTTTCCTGGGACCAACAGGGAAAAGCAGAAGGAAACATGGTTGAAAAACAGGGTACATATGCTGACTTACAAAATAAAAATTAAGAGCTAAGCCAAGGACTTGAATTTCATGCCAAGGAGTTCATTATACTTAAGCAATAGAAAATATCTTAATTGATCAAATGTGCGTTTTATGAAGATGTCTTTAGAGCAATTGGGTGGATACAGAGAAGATGAAGGAGCTAAGAAGAAATGACATGAGTGCCCTCCAAAGAGAATGAATGCATGAAGTATTGTAATGGTGATATGGTAATGAGAGGAGAAAGCCAAATTTACGAGCCATGTAAGCACATGGTCTTTGACTATGTTGACTGCTCAGCATCCAAGGAGACTTAAAAAGTGATTTCAGGTTCCTTTTGTGGGTAATGGATTGATAGTTATGTCATTAATAAATATGGGAACCTGAAAAAGGAGGCCTTACATAAAAGATGTGCTTAATAAACACTTATGAAAGACAAGATGAAGTGTCAATAACACAGCTCTACTTTTCCCTGTCAGATAAAATGCCAGTAACCTAGGTATTATCCATTGCACCTAATTATAGGGGTCCAATGGAAAATATGTCTTACATTTTAATACTCTAGTCTGAAACTATAATTGTAGGTAACTGCATTTTATAAAATAAAAACAAATGTCTTTCAGTGCTAATTTCCGTAGTGTTCTCATAAAATCATTAACTTGCAAAGATGACATTTACATGCCACTCATACATGTCTATTGTAAGAAAGAAAAAAAACTATATTTTACAATCATATGTGGTTCTAAAATTTAAATAAACGATTTTTTTTAAAAAAAGGAAATGAGAGGTAAAACACTACAGTTGGTACAGGCTCAAAGAGAATGGAATTTCCTAAAGTATCACATTGTTACCAAGCATTTCTCACTTAAAATATCAAGGTCATAATTTTATATTATAGCCATTTCAATTGTAAATTCTTTAAGAGTCTACATGACAGAACACAAAAAAGTATTGCCTGATTAAAGCAGAAAATCATGTACCTGGATAAATTGCTCTTCTGCTTTGGTTGGCATTATGAGACTTATCTTTGCTTGCTAGACAAGGCCCACCTATAGTCCAACTGTGAATGGTATACCTGGGAGAAGTCATCCAAGTCATACCTTCATCTCATAAACTCAAATAATAGAGTTCTATACATTCATGATATTTAAGTTGTATTTCTTTTGACATTTGTGGCACAGGCATTTCCTGACATTATGTAAAAACTTGATAAATAATTGTTGAATCAGTTAAATTTAAAATGAGAAGCCTGCAGATCTCTGAATATAGAGTTTTTTAGTTGAACTTAGAGTCTCTGGGTTCTACTGAGTCTACTCCTACTGGAAAAAGGAAAATAAGGGAAGGAAGAGTACACATATGAGAAAGCACCTCAATTGATTAATGAAATTCTTTTGCTTGTGATAAAAGGGATGTGCATAATTCATCCATCTACTTGTGAAATAGTTATTGAACACCACACCTATTCCTTTCCTCCAGGAACTCACAGTCAACTTGGGGTAGCAAATGTGGAACTAGGTAAATATAAATTAAGAAAAAGTCCTGGAACGAAAAGATGAATGAGGTGCTCAGGGATTGAACAGATCACAATGAACATCTTCCCTTTCTAACTTGTATTATTCCTATTTTACTCCAAATTCATAAGAACATATGGACGCTCAAGATGTAGTATCTCATTACAAGCTATGCCAAGAAAATCCTTCTAACATTCTTTATTTTCAGGAACTCAAAAGACAATGGTTTGCTGAGAGGAAGAAGGAGCATGTCTACAAATGAAACTTGGGACTGGATGACTAAAGCAAAAGAAATACTTTACTTTTCACTTGTCCAAAATCTTTTTTGTTTGGTTTAGTTTTTTATTACCAAGTGTAAAATCTACAAATTAGTCCTTATTGGTACTTGATGAAGTATCAGTTCCAATACTCAATCTCCACTAAAGCTTTTTAATACTTATCTTTACAAAGCTGCATTAGTCAGCCTTTATTCAGCCCTGAAAGCAGAACAGACAAAGGAAGACAACAGGAGGAAAAGAGAAGAAAACTGACTTCAGTGACCTTCAATCACATTGGCAGGATACAGGATGGAATGCAGAGAAACAAAGCCACAACTAGGGAGAACATTTTTTTTCTTTTAATTTAAAAGTCAAACCTCCTGGATCTTACCTGAAAAGTTCTTGTAATCAACTAAATCGAACATAACAACGGCAACAGCTGACCAGGTTATTATCAGAGCAATGACCAGAAGCCAGGCTGCAGGTGAGCTGAATGTCGTCACTATGTCTTCTGTGACTGTCCTCTTCAGCACTTTTCCAGGGGATTTGGGCAGAGATCCATTTTTGCTGTCTATCACAGTTGTGGTTGTAGATGCATTTCCTAATCAAACATTAAATAAGGAAAATATAATTTAGAAATTCACATCGAATGTTGATGAAAAAAACACAAACTATGAATTTTGTAACCTGTTTGTATCATTTTCTATGGTAGATCATATTTGCTCAGCAGCAGTCCCCCACCTCCCAACCCACTCCCACATTGTCTCTTCCTCTGCATTTACCCCTCACCCTGAAACCTTTTTGGCTCATAAGCATTTCTCATCTCCCAAGTTCCATCTATGCTCCCATCCAGGCCATGAAACCTATTCATTTTCTTCCACTCATTTTCACTTCTCTGTTACCATTTCCCCTACCATTTCCAAGAGCAATAGGCTTTTGGAACAAGATGCCTTTTAAAATAATTTTTATTTATTTAGGTTCAATATGTCAATTCTGAAAATCAGTAAAAACATACTCTCTGAGGAGAGATTTGAAATCAGTGATAAAATAAAGTGGATAGAACTCTATATGGATATCCTGTTTTAACTGCATAATAGTTTTCTTTTTTGTGATGTATGTTTTCTTTTTTTTAATTTGTTTTAATTAGTTACACATGACAGTACAATGACCTTTACATATCATACATTTGAATCAGATGGGATATAATATCTCATTTTTCTGAGTATACAGGTTGCAGAATCACATTGATCATGCATTCATATATATCCACACAGTAATAATAATGCCTGTTTCAATCTACTATCCTCCCTAATAATTTTCTATTGAGGTCATTAAGTTTTTCTGATTTTTTTTTGGCAGGGCAAAGAAGAGAATAATGTTGGAGAATCTTATCATATCCAGTATTATAATAATCTTGGAAGATCTTATTATATCCAGTTGTTTCTTCCAGAAACAACTTCTGTTAACATGTTTTTTATTTGCACCTAGTTTTGTGTATATGTGTATATAAATATATAAATGTTTTATTTGTTTTTGACAAATCACGATTACACTGTCCTTTTTGTTTTCTTTGCTAGACAATGTAAAATCAACAAGCTTTCATATTATTAGGTATCCCTTTAAATATTACTTAAGTGGCTGCATGGAATGTCATTTTATGACTGTATATAATTTAGTCATAAAGTTTCCTAGCTTATGATATGACAGAAATTTTCTCAAACCCATCAACAATCCTCCCTTCAGGAGACATTCCTAAATGAGAATTGCTGATACAAATAACATACTCACTTTTATATTTTTTGAGACTATGTATACATATATATAATTTTAAACTTGATGTTTTGGAAAATTATAGTAGTCTTGCTTCCTTATGCATATCAATATTATCACTGGTATTTAAAATATGTGCAATAATATAAGAGAAAAATTTTTGCTTCATTTACAATTCACTGATTACTTGAGATAAATAGTTAATGTTTAGTTTTCCTTCCTTTGTATTTCTTGTGAGTTTTTTCTTTAACTTTGCTTGAAATCTACTTACACACACACAAACGCACAGGCACATGTTCACAAAGATAATATTTTATAACCTTAGTCTTGCAAGTTTTGCTTCAATTATTTACCTTTTCCTCTTATAGCATTTCTATATACAGAGTGAAATATAACAATTTTGTTAGTCTTTCACTTTGCTTCATAACATTTCTGTCAATGTATGGCTTGAAAGTCCCCCTTAGTGGTCAGTGGACATATCTGATTATCTTAACCACACTTGACCTTTAGAGAATTAAATCCAGAGGTAATTCAGAGATTTTTTGAAATAACCATTTCATGGCATTTTTAAGAAAACTGAAGACTGACTAAAAAATTAAGGAGACTTTCATAACATTCTCATTTCCATATTTCTCAGGTGTGTAGTAAATCATTCAATACTAAAGAGAAAAAAAAGCTTTCATCAATTATTTTTTTTTTGCCAAAAGCATCATTTATTATATTTTCATGTATATTGAGTATAGACCACATTATCTGTAATAATAATTCCAAAACAAATGGAGAAAATGTTGATTAGTCTATACACAAGATTACATATTTTCAATTTCACTATTTATCTCTAAATTATAATATTTTTATGCATTAGATTCTACAGAAAATCTAAATTTTCAATTTTCTTTAACATTTTCATCAAGTAAATTTCCCTTAGCTTAAAGCTTAATTGTAGTTAAAGTGTGTTAAATAATAATTAGAAGATTTTAGTCTTGTAAATATGGAAGAAATTTTCTATATTCCTTGAAAGCCTCGGTGGAATTAAAGTGCACCTTATTCTGTTTATCTGCCTTCACAATTCCTTCTTTTGGATATGTATTTCATGTGGAAATGGTGAAGCAAAAAAATTTACATGCTTGTAGAGAGGAGATTGGAATTAACTTCTGGCTCCTCCCTGTATTATCTAAATGGACGGAATTTCACTATCACACTATCTTTCTGAGCAAGAAGAATTTCCACTTAGGAAAAGAAACTGGTTTAGGGTTGAATTTGCAGGCTTGTGATGGTGAAAAGAAAAGTCATGCAAACCATTTGGCATATCTCCTGGTACATGGTAATTATTTGACAAATGGCAACACAAGAATCACTAAATGACATCATTATCATTATTACTGTCTTCATTACTGCCATTAGCACCTCCAGTGCTACTTCTATGATCATGGCTCTGGCTATGATTACTACTGCTGTCATAAGGAAACTCAAGAAGGGCAGGATTAACGTCAGAAGTGAAGGCAGAAGAACTGACCCTCAAGTAAATGTGAGCACTTTTCCCATTGAATAAGCACATATATTAGATCAAGATGGGTATGGGGAACAAAAAAGAGTTCTAAAATTCTCTCAGTATCCTTTCCAATCAATTCATTTATTTCTTGGAATATAAGAGGAAAACATGCTAATTTATTCATATAATTAGAGGTTGTTTTGCCCCACTGGCAAAATTAAGAGAAATGAACTATGCAAAAAAAAGTTATTTCTTTGTAGTATAAACATTATACATATAAACTCGAAAAATAAAGTTTGAGCCATTTTAACAAAGATATTCACAGATGCTTATAGTATGAATATAGTATGAATTCAGTTCATAATACAATTTGATATTGGGAGGAGGAACAATGCTATTTGCAAATTATGTTCTCCAATTAATAGTCTCACTCTTTTCATTTCTTTTGCCATAAAAGGTCACACTATCTTACTTTTTTCAAAAATTAGTGACATACCACTCTGAGTCCCAGAGTAAAGAAAAATTAAATTCATTCAAGAGTACATATTTGTGGGCTGGGGTTATGGCTCAGTTGTAGTGCACATGCCTGGCATGCATGGGGCACTAGGTTCAAGTCTCAGCACTGCATATAAATAAATAAATAAAGGTTAATCAACAATTTTTTTTTAAAAAGAGTACATATTTGTAGGTGATAACAACCAAACATAACTAATGCAGTATTTTTTAGATAGAAGTAGCCTACCAAGGCCTATATTTTCTAAAAGTTAATAAGCTAATGAAGAACAACAGTAGTAAAAGAATTCAATTAAGATTTTTAAATTATTTTAGGTAGAAATTAACAATAATGACAACAAATTTTGCTTTCCTGAAAAAATTGTGGAAAAAAACATCCCAAGTTCATGAACTCATTTGAGTAGAAATGATAGCAAGATGGAGAACTACCCTTAAAAAACAGATTTTTATAGACTATACTTGACATGGTGCTCAAAGAGGAAAAGTAATAAGGAACCCATATCATATCCTCTCATTGATTTTTGTTTCAAATTCCCATCACTCCTAATGATAGTTCTGAAAATAGATGAATGATAAGAGTGCTTTGAAATGAGATTTAAGACCCAAGTGGGGCTACAAGTGAATCAAACCTTCAGAATAATGATTTGCAGGAGAGTAAATGAATTAAGAGTGTTTAGGAGTAGCCGGCCTGAAAATTGATATGTTGCTAATCTCCAGTTTTTATTGCCTCTGGAAGGCTTTCTACTGATACTAAGTGGAGAACATCTGAAGAATGGTTTCTGCACTTGAGATTCACTTCAGTGAGTTGTGTATTTGGGCATCAGACAATGTCAAACACGCTTGCTAGGTATCTTGAAACTGAAAATATAAATTTCCTAAGATTTGACACAAACTAGCTGTATCTTTGTCAAATTCTTAAAGGTTGAATATTTTAAAAGAAATATGACAGTAGAGGAAAGTGACAAAGGTGTAGCAAGTGGGGCTGGAGGGGAGAAATTCTACGGAGTAATAATGGCCAAATTATATGGTTATACTGTGTATATGATGAATATGTAACAACAAGTCCCATCAGTGTGTACAATAATAATGCACCAATAAAAAAGAAACATGTATTTCTAACTGCTTCCTTTTCTGATTAGAAGAGTAGGAAACTATAAATTCAGGAATTAATGCAAGTTCAGAGTTTAAAAATACAAAATATATATTTTTACAGAATGGATATAATTTGAATTCCTTTTATGATTCTGACAAGATGATTATGGTATAATTTTTAAGTAGATGAAAATGATAAATTTAATAGTAAATTATATTCTAGATGTCCTTTGTATTTTTATTGTATTCATGTCCTCAAAATTTCCACTTAAAAAGTCAGACTCAATACTGATAAAAACATATTCACTATACAACTGCAAAGCAATAAACAACTTGAAAGTAACCTGAAGGTTATCGTGCTTAAAGAAAATTTTATGTCGCCTTTGTTATAAAACATATTAAGTTGTACCTTTCATTTTCCATTCAAATTTACTGCAAAAGCCACATAGAGCCAAGAGGAATAAAATTGAGGGTGAATAAATGGCCTTCTCTGACAGCTGGTCAAGATAAATGCAAAGAACAGAGTATGTAATCTGAGATTATTTAATGTTTGAGAAGCACTTTAAAGATGACAAGTGCTAGTTATTGATATGGCAGAAAAAATGAGAGGTAAATACTACTGAGTAATTTGACAGGGGCTACAATTCTTGGAAACCTGCATTTCAGAAGTAGAGCAGAATAGCCAGAGTACATGTCAGTCCTTTCCCTACCTATTTTTAAATTCTTTTCCTTTT